AGCGGCCACCGTGGCCTCCCGGACTCGCGCCCTGCGCCGCCCGGCCCGGCCCACCTGTGCTCCTGCCCCGGCCGGGGCCTGGCCCGGGGATGCGGTAGCCCGATGCGGAGTCGGCGGCAGGCCTGACTCGCTCCCCACAGCTGAAGCGGACCGGGCGCTCAGCGCGGCACGGCGGAGCCCAACGCTTGCTCCAAACCCATTTGTTTGGCTAAAACGGCGTGACGTCATGCGCCGGCCCAATAGACGGTTGCTCGGGGGAGGGGCCAACAAGCCTGCTCGCGCTGGCGCCCCCTGCCTGACGCCGCGAGCGCCGCGGGGAGAAAGGGCCCCCAGGTGGTGCAGAGAGCTAGCTCCAGCTGACCTTGGGGCAAGGAATACGATCCCCAAGCCAGACAAGTTCATTTACGGGTGGACCAGAAACCATAAATGATTTTTGATGCCATTAGATATCCAACATACTTGGGTCCCAATCTTGGTTCTACCACTATATTCAGGAAGGCTGAATTTCAGAATGCTAATTTGTTAAACGAACACCCTGGCTGGGGACATTACTCAGCTGGTAGAGTATTGCTTGCTGATCATGCCCAAAACCTTGGGTTCGATCCCCAGCATCCTATACACTGGGTGTGGTGTAGCACCCCTGGAATCCCAGCACTAGGAAGGTGGTGAGGATCAGAAGTTCAAGGTCACAGTCAGCTGTGTAACAAGTTCTAGACCAGCCTAGGATATGTGAGTACCTTTTTAAAAAAAAAAAAAAAAAAAAAAAATCAACACGTTGGGAGAATGCCTTAAGCTGTTATTCTTTTCCATGCAAATTATGGCAGAAATACCTACCAAAAAGTACATAAACTTTGGGATTGACAGTCTCAAACTGCTAGTCTATAAAAGCCTACAGGCTTGTTAACGATGAATAAAAAATATGCTTTTAATATGTATATTCAAATCAGAGTAAACAAAATTTTTATCACCAATCTTTAAAATTATCATTGTATAATAAATTTTTTTTATCTTTTTTGAGACAGGGTCTCCTTGTAGCCCCAGCTGTCCTGGAACTCACTATGTAGACCAGGCTGGCCTCAAACTCACAAAGATCCACCTGCCTCTGCCTCCCAAGTGCTGGGATTAAAAGCATGTGCCACCACGTCTGGCCATTGTATAATAATTTAAACCACATTGAACAGTATATAAAATAGACAGCCACAGTAAGATAATAAAGAAAAGCCTTTACCTCAACACTTATCACTTGATGCATTCTCTTTCAGACCCTTTGCACCATGCATTTTTACTTTATGTGTATTTTATGGTGCGCACATAATTTTGGAATGTGTTTTTTACACTTTAAGCATTTTTTCCTGTTTCTACATAAGCGTCATAATGTCTAATAGCTACAAGAAAAATCATCTCAATAGACATGAAATTCATTGCATTAATCCCTGGTTCCTAGACATATATCCTTCCTTTTTGGCCATTGTAAGCTAACCAGGGGTCTGTAGGTGTAGCTCAGTGGTACAGCATGCGTTAGCATGTGAAAGGCCTTGAGTTCAAACTAAAGTCAAGGCAACTCTAATTTTAGCTAGCACTTTAAGAACATAGTTTTGGAATTTGAGAGATGGTTCAGGGATTAAGAGCTGTTATTACTGCTCTTGCAGAGGACCTGATTCAGTTCCCAGCATTCACATCAAGCAGCTCACAACCATCTATAACTCCAGTTCCAGGGGATCCAATGGTGCCTTCTGGCCTCTGTGTCACCTGCACGCACATAACCTCACACAGGAACTCAGGCACACACAGATATACACAATTTTTTAAGTTCTATTTTAATGTAAAACAAATCTTAGCAAGACAGACAGACAAAGCCAGCTTGTCTAACATAACAGAGCAAAACCCTGTCTCAAAACAGGAAAAAAAAACTTTTATAAATGTTTATGTATGAAATCTTAAGTATCAAAATGTAAAAAAAAAAAAAAAAAAGCCTAACAAGATGGCACAGCAGGTAAATGCCTGACAGCCTGAGTTAAATCCCCAGAACCCACAAGGTGGAAGTAGAGAACAGACTCCTGTAAGTTTCCTCTGACTTCTACACATGCACCATGGCATACATATACCCATACACATACACACACGTTCTCACCTGCACACACACACACACACACACACACACACACACAAGTAATTTTTTAAATATAAAATAAGCCAGTCATGGTGGTATACCCTAGTAATTGCAGCATTTGGGAGATTGACCCAGAAGATCACTAAGTTCAAGGCCAGCCAGATCTGCATAGCAAGTTCTAGGCCAGCCAGGGCTAAATAGCAAGATCCTGTCTGAAAAAGAAAAAAAGCAAAACCAAACCAAAACAACAACAAAAGCTAAATTGCAGGGCTGGGGAAATAGCTCACTTAAGTGCTTGCTTTGCAAGCTTGAGCTCAATCCCCAGAACCCAGATTTTACAAACAAATCTACTGACCTCATGCCAATCCCTTTACATCTGTGCCTCAGTGTCCCCCTTTCTGTAAGGACTTCCAAAACAAGGGGGACACTATACATTATGTAGAAATTTCTGGAGAAACTTTGCTCTCATTTAAAGAATCACTGCATGCCACCAAGGTAACTAACACTCTTGATAGTATCATAGTATATTTTAGAGTATTGCCCAGAGATTTGGGTTTTTTCAAATATTTTATTTATTATTTTTATTTTATGTGTAAGAGTGTATTGCCTGCATGTATGTGAGTGCACCCGTGTCATGCAATGCCACAGAGGTCAGAAGAGAGCTTCGATTTCCCCTGGAACTGGAGTTAAGGATGGTTCATAGCCACCATGTGGGTGCTGGGAATCAAACCTGGGTCCTCTGCAAGAGCAATCAGTGCTATTAACTGCTGAGCCATCTCTCCAGCCCTGATTTGGCATTTTTTAAAAAATTAAAATCACAGTAATTTTTTTTTAAGTTAGATGTGATGGCCTGTGCTTACAATCCCAATGCTAAAGATGTGGAGATGAAGAGATCCCTGGGGCTTACTGACCAGCCAGCCTAGCCTACTTGGCCAGTGAGAGACCCTGTCTCAAAAAAAAAAATGTAGACAGTCCCATGTATGCCCGTGTAAATACAGACATGAATAATAAACCAAACATGCATAAAATTATTCTGCCAAGTTGCCAGCTAGTAAACATTTTAATCTCTTCCTCTCAATTGTCGTAGACTGGCCATTGGGCCACACTGAGCATAACTGGTCTAAGACAAAGACCCAGGAGGCAGTGTAGCCATAGCCATGGTAGCAGATCCCTCCCTTGACTCTAGTCACTCCCTTCCACAAAACAGAAGGAAGCTCAAGGAAGGCCAGTGGGCCAATGCAGTGCAAAGCATTGTAGGTCCTGTGATACACTCTAGGCAGAGGGCACCGCAAGGTTCTTAAGAGAGGGGGTCACAGGAGGCCCGTGAAACTGATAGAAGCTGAAAGAAGAGCAAGGCCAAAGTGGCCCCAGCAGCAGAAAAGATCTAAGTACATAGCAAGCAATTTTGGTTATTCTAACAATGACTAGAACTGTTTGCCAAGCCAGCAAACACTGTAATAAACACCCCATACCCCAGCTTTTGTCTCACATGTACTTTGTTTCCCTACTGCTCTGTGCTCAGGAAAAAAAAAAAAAAGAAAACTAAGAACTTATTACTGCCCATTTAATAATCATATCCAATCTCCAAAGGTAAAATACCATCTCATCTTCTGCTTCTTTCTCAAGTTCTTCATCCTTACCAGACTCATTTCACCTACCTCTAGAGAAAGGAAACCAAGGAGCAGAGAGCAGATTTCATTAGCCCTTGCATCTAGGCCCATCTTTACTGCAGAACATAGGCCACTGGGTATGATAATGACTTTCCCTAGCTACTTCGACTGTGCTCTTTTAAAGATCAAATAAGGAGCAAAAGTGATTCCAATAGTTTAAACTTGGAACTGGGATATGGCTCAGTCTTGTAAAATGCTTCCCGAGCAAGGATGAAGACTTGAGTTTGACCCTGAGCACCCATGGAAAAAAGCCAGGGATGGCAGCACGAGCCTATAATCCCAGTGTTGGGAGAGTCGATCCCTAGGAGGATCCCTAGGATTTTCTGGCCAGCCAGTCTAGACAAATCAGCAAGCTCCAGATTCAGTGAGAGACCTTGCCTTGTCTAAAAATAAGGTAGGGAGCCAGATGTGATGGTGCATGCCTTTAAACCTAGCTCTCAAGAGACAGAGGCAGGTGCATCTCTGTGAGTTTGAGGCTGGCCTGGCCTACATGGCAAGTTCCAGGCCAGCCAGAGCTACATAGTGAAACCATATCTCAAAAAACAAAAAATAAAAAAATAAGGTAGGAAGATCACTAGAGATGTAGCTCAGTTGGTAGAGTGTTTACCTAGCACTCTACCTAGTCCTGGGTTCCATCTCTAGCACCATATAAACTGGGTGTGGTGATTACCTGTAACCCTAGCACTTAGGAGGTAGAGGCAGGAGGATTAGGAGTTTGAGGCCAGCCTCAGCTAGATAGTGAATTTGAGACCAGTCTGGGCTATAGGAAACCCAATCTCAGAAATGGCTGATGGATGGATGATGGATGGATGGATGGATGGATGGATGGATGGATGGATGGATGGGTGGGTGGATGGGTGGGTGGATGGATGAATGGATAGATTAGATAGATAGATGATAGATAGATAGATGATAGATTGATAGATGATAGATGAAATGGATAGATTAGATAGATGATAGATAGATAGATGATAGATTGATAGGTAGATGATAGATAGATGATAGATGATAGATAGATAGATAGATAGATAGATAGATAGATAGATAGATAGATAGATAAAATAGGAATGGAGAGACAGCTCAGCACTCAGCAGGTAAACGACCTTACCACCAAACCAGATGACCTGAGCTTGATCCTCATAACCCAGAAGTTGGAAGTAGACTAAGACAAGTTGTCCTCTGACCTCCACATGCACACCATGGTACGTGCATACCCCCCAATCCCCCCTCCTACACACAAAGTTTAAACTTGACTGGTGTGGTGCTGCACACCTGTAATCCAGCATTCAAGAAGCAGAGGCAAGAGTATTGCAAATTTCAGGCCAGTCTGTCCTATACAAGATCATGTTTCTAAAAGGGGGAAGATTATATTTTTTCAAATAAGCCAGGTATGGTGGCACATGCCTTTAATA